CTCTACTTCTTCTACTACTCTCTTTCACTCTGTATCATCTCTATCATCATTATCAGATTAATCAGAGCTGTACAGACTGCAGAGTCAGCTATTCAAAAGAATCTCATTCATGAATTCAAAGAGATACACATGACATTACATGACATTTTATTACAGAGTATTTAGCAGTATATACTATAAACACAGAGATTAAAATGTAGTAGAGATAGTAAGAGAGAAGTAGAAATAGTGAAAGTAATAGAAGAGACTACAGAGCAGTAGAGATAATAATAATAGAGAGATTAAATATAATAGAGATAATAAAGAGAGAGTAGAAGTGAAAGAAATAATAAAGATAATAACAGAGTAAGTAACAAGATAAGAGTAGAGATATGAAATAAAAGTGATAGAGAGACTGTGAAGTAATAGAAACAGTAGTAATAATAGAGAATAGAAATGATAAAGAAAATAGAGATAATAAAAGAAAGATAGAAGTGAAAGAAATAATAGAGATAATAAGAGTAAGTGATAAGATAAAGTAGAAGTATGAGGTAAAAGTAATAGAGAGTGCTACAGAGTGTTAGAAATAGTGATAATAATAGAGAGTAGTAGAGTAGAAGTAATTAACAGATATTACTACATATTTATAAATTTTTAATAAGATGTATATAATGTTATATTACAGTGTTTTTTACACAGAAAAGTTGATTTTTCTTTAATATATAGAGAGATATAGTCACAGACTTATATTGTTTCAATAATAATAGAGAGTAGAGATAATAGAGATAATAGAGATAGTAAAAGAAAGATAGAAGTAAAAAACAAAATAGAAGTAGTAAGAGTAAGTAATAAAATGAAGATAGAAATAAAGTGAAAGTAATAGAAGATACTATAAGATATTAGAGATGATAATAATAATAGAAAGTAATAAAGTAAAAGTAATTCACAGATATTATTATATATTCATGAATTTTTAATAAGATGTATATAATATCACATTACAGTGTTTTTTACACAGAAAAGATAGTTTTTCTTTAATATATAAAAAGATATAGAGAGATATAATCACAGACTTATATAGTTTTAGTAATAGTAAAGAGTAGAGATAATAGAGATGATAGAGATGATAAAAGAGAGATAGAAGTAAAAGAAATAATAGAGATAATAAGAGTAAGTAATAAAATACAAGTAGAAGTATAAAGTGAAAGTAATAGAGAGTACTACAGAGTGTTAGAGATGATAATAATAGTAAAAAGAGATAGAATAGAAGTAATTAACAGATATGACTATATATTACTATATATTTATAATTTTTTAATAAGATGTATATAATGTTACATTACAGTATTTTTTACACGGAAAAGTTGATTTTTCTTTAATATATAGAGATATATAGTCATAAACTTATATAGTTTTTACAGTTAAATAATTAACTGTAAATATTTGTAAATTTTCTGCTTTTATTTGTATCAATATAGCTATAGACCAATACAGTTCTTATAGTTAAAAATTATTATTATTATTCTTTAATTATAAACAAGTATTAAATGCTTACTTATACTTACTTTACTACTTACACAGCTCTTTCTATTACTTTTACTCTCTACTTCTATCTCTCTTATTATCTCTTTCATCTCTTTCACTCTCTACTTACTTTATTATTATCACTGTCTCTACTATCTCTACTGTCTTGAAGTCTCTTTCTATTACTTTTACTTTACTCTCTTAATTATCTCTTTCATCTCTTTCACTTTACTTCTTCTATTATCTTTTTCTCTTTATCTTCTGTATTATCTTCATTATCTCTTTCACTCTACTTTCTCTCTTATCTCTTTCACTTCTTTCATCTCTTTTACTCTACTCTTTTTATTATCTCTTTTACCCTACTCTTTTTATTATCTCTTTTACTCTACTTTCTTTATTATCTATATTACTTCTTTTACTTTACTCTTTCTATAAACTTCTTTTATTTCTTTTATTTCTTTCACTCTACTCTTTTTATTTTCTCTATTATTTCTTTTACTTTACTCTCTCTATTATTTCTTTTACTCTATTATCTTTTTTAATCTATTACTTCTTTCACTTTACTCTCTCTATTATCTCTTTCATCTCTTTTTCTCTTTTCATCTTCACTGTAAGAGGCCTACGCCGAATAGATCGGTATAATATTGATAGGTCTTATATAACAAAGACAAAAACATTAGAGAAGGAAAGAAAGAGAAAGTGTGAGAATTGACAATTGAAGTGAATATTTATATGATATGTGATGATGTATGTAATGAGGCTTTGAGGCGGAAGAATCTATACACGTTTGTGACAGCTGAGAATCAGTGATTGAGAATGACTGAGAATCAGAGTGTATGTGTTTATAACAGCTGAGAATCAGTGATTGAGAATGACTGAGAATCAGAGTGTATGTATTTGAGAATGAAGTGATTGAAATCTGTGAAGTATAATGAAATAGTCTATATAAGTGATCAGGTGCAGCTCATCACATTAGTCTCTCTCTTTTAGAAGCAGTTCTCATCAGTCAAGAGCTGCTGTTTCAGATAACACAGAAATTGAAGTTCAGGTCAGTTGATCATAGCTGACTCATTTCATGAGATATTGTCAGTCACAGTTATGTGATCTCTTATAAAGAATATCTTTAATCTCTCATTCAAGCTCATTATCTTCTTCTATGATCTCTGATAGCTGCTAGTTGAAAGTCAGTTGAGAAGAGAATGAGTCAGTGATAATACAGCAGAGCAAGCTTGTATAAAAGACATCATAGATCTCTGATGATGTGTCAAGATAATAGTTATAACTACTCAGAACTTCTATCACTTTATACCTGATATAGCAGTAATCTAGCATACAAGATGAATATGTGATTTATATATTCTTAAGATTTAATCATATCAGATCTTCTATCTTATATTATTCAGTGAGATCTTGATGAATATTAATTCAATCTTTTTAATTCTGTTTAATACTCATCATGAAGGCTTCTACTCAATCACAGATATCTCAGAGTTTCATTAATATATTATCAGTGATCTGAATTGAACTGCAGAGATTCAGTGTGAACTGTGTGATCTCTAGAAGATCTAACATCTTCATGTGATAACTGTGTGTAAGAAAGAACAGACTTATATCTGTTAAAATAGCATCTCAATCATTGATAGCAACTTCTGTGTGTAGAAGAAGATCATATCAGTCATCTTATAAGTAGTTACAGAACTTATGAAGATAATTCTTCATAATCTGAATTATTCATTCTAATGCATCATCAGTCTCAGAGTGATATATAGTTAACAGATGATATATAATCTTGAGAACTTGACAGATTCTTGTTCAGAGAGTGCTTACAAATTAATAACTCTGATCTGATACTATAGATCTTGACAACTCATGTATTTAATAGAATAAGCTCTGTAGAAAAGCTTTAATAACTTATTCAGTATTCATTTTATTACAAGATTTCAATATTACATCTTTACTTAATTGATTTATAATGATCAGAATGTTTCTACAATCTTTACTCTTAGAGAGATCAATAGTGAAGTCAATTATCACATCTCATCAGATTCTATCAGAGATATTGAGCAGTTTCAGCAGATCTTTTCTACAGTTCTTCTATAAGATAATAAAAGATTAATAGTTGCAGTTTCAGATGAAGTGTCTGATACTATTTAACATCTCAGACTAGTAAAACTCTCAGAAGACTATTTTATACAGTTATATATAATCTGAATAGTCAATTATATATAAATCATACATCTCTTGCATTATCTGAGTGTGTAAGAATTCAGAGTGAGAGACTCAGCATTGTTTACAGAATTATAGAGTGTTATTATCATCAATTGAACATTCTGAGATATCAGTTCTTATACATAGTTCTGAGAGAAATCAGGTTGCTTCTTGACATACTGCTTCAGTGAGTACTTAAACAAGTTCATCAGTTTGAGCTGTTGTATACCACAATTTATTCAGTGTAGATCTGAAGAATGTTCTGACTGATAAAGTATA